GGTGCAGGGTTCGCCTCACTGAGCACAGGGCCTGGCCACGGGAGGCCTTCGATGAACAGTGGTCAGCAGGTGAATTCTGTCATGGGAAACCCACGGCATTTTAATACCCACCCTCTGTTTTCCCTTAGAATCTCCTGACGTTGCCTTCACTAGGAATCGTTTAAAAACCCTGGAGAAGCTAGTTTCTGTCAGGCACACATTCCTAGTGCATCAGGCTTCCTTAGTAATTAGTATGTTTCAATATTGCGTACATTACAGCGTTGGAAGAGGTGTATGTCCCCCTCCGTGTATGAAGAAGAAAACCTTTCTTCTTGTACATTTGTGTAATTTCGTTGGCTTCCAACCCATCTTTCCCTTGCACACACTGGCCCTAATGTGGGTATCCTATCTGAATACAGCTGCAATCTGTGGGTGTTTTCCTACAACAAAGAAGAGGGCGGGTTGGCTGGGGGGCCAGCAGGGGGGTAAAAAAGAGGGAATTTGGGCAGCTTGCCACAGAGCCGCATGAGAGGGGAGCCCTGTAGCCCTCATGCACCTAGAGGAGTTTCCACCTCATGCACCTAGGGTTTCCACCTAGAGGAGACCCTTGTCATCACTTCATAAAAGTGCGTTTGTCTCCAGGGCTGCGTTAGGACCAGGCTCAGACTGGAGGAGGAGGGTTCTGCCTCTGTAGAGCAGGTTATGTAATTGTGCATAACCGGCAAGAAAGGGACCAAAGCAACCAGTGGAAGCAGAGGCCTGTCTTCAAGGGAAACAAACAAACAAAAAGCCAAGCAAACTTAAAAGGGGAGTGAGTTCAGTCTAAAGGGAAAGAAGCGGGCTTCCATGGTGAAAACTCACCTTTTCCCAGAAAGGATTTTCCATGTGGGTTGACGGCTTTCAGGTGAAGAAGGGAGAGGGTTCATTCTTAAAGTTTAGAGCGTTCAGCCCTGTCGTTATCGAGTAAAAGCCAAGGTGATTGCCTTCCACGTGCGCGGTGCAGTGAAAGCAGGCTTATGTTGCCACGTCAGAACCATTTCTCTGGCCAGGGGCAAGGGTTAGTGGCCAGGTTCAGGACGACACCCACAATGGAAAGGGACGTAAAACTGCTTTTATTTAACCTTGCCCTTCAGACTCACACTTGTGTCCACTACTGTCTTGGGCCTAAGTCTCTTTTTGGCCACATTCCCTGAAAAACACGCCCGCCCTGGATTTTGGAAGAGGCTGCTTTCGGATGAGTTGGCTGAGAATTAGAGAATTAGTGTAATTACCACTACACAAACTTGTGCTGGACTTTGTCCTGCCCTCTGTTGCTTCTAGCTCTGTGCTGAGTATATCTGTACCTTCCACCTTGGATTTCGGGGCCCTGAGGCTGTACCTTGTCTCCCCTTCTTGTGTGTTTCCTACGGAGTTTGTTATGGTTGCTGGATACACAGTGTGTTTAATATGTGCTCGTGGATTCAGTTCTTTCTTCCACTGTTGAGGGGCAGAAGTCCTCAACTTGTAATGAGGTAAAGACTGGGGCAGTGGAATCCCTACAAATCCCCTTGGAGGCTGTGTGGGGGCTCCTTCAATCTCAGAGGGCTGGATCAGAGATCAGAGTTGGGTCCCACAGTGGGAGGCAGTAAAATCCCCTCTAGAATGCTGTGTGGGCCATGTGGCCCCCACGCTCGTCTACAACTTGCTCAGGACTTTCTAGCCCCTTTGTGCTAACAGGTTTTTGGGGACCCCAGGCACTCACAGCCCAGCCCCTAGGTAGGTAGGCATTATCGGATCTGTAGGCAGTCTTTCTTTCTGTCATGAGAAGTGCTCAGTTCAGTGGCTTCGTGTAGCAGTGGGATGTCTTCGTACAGACGTCCGTGTTCTCGGCAGATCTGGCCGTGTCCCCCCAGTTCTGAGGGGGGCTGGTTACCTTCTGAGATGTATCTCAGCTGTCAGACTGAAGGTTGCCTTGTAGGGTAAAAACAGAATATGCATACGTGTTCGCAGAAATCCATGCCAGTGCCCAAAGCCTCCGAGACCAGCTGCAAGCCTTCCTGGGTTGAAGTGAAAAGATGTTTTCTTTCTCTAGTAGCTTATAGAGACCTGAAAACAGGAGGCAAACAGAAAAGCAAACAGAAAGGTAGGCAGGAGGATGCGTTTTCAGGAGAAAAAAAAAAAGTGCCTTGAGAGGAAATAAAGAGGTGCTAATCGTTAAAGCCTGAAAACTGAAGAAAAAACAAACCCAACAATACTTTGGCTTCTGTGAACTCTGAATCTGGATGAGCAAATGGTGCTTTGCCAAATCCTAGCCTCCAGGCTGCCGACCAGGGCAGCTGTGGTCCTGCTGCGTGCCCGTCCCACACGGCGACTCTTCTGGGCTGGGCTCCAGGTCTGGAGGGGCAGGGGGGCCCGGGAAGGGCAGGTGGGGCCCCCAACTCCACACCATCAGGGTGGCTGGGAAGCATCACGAGGGTACCCTCTTGCACTCTCTTAGGAGGGTTGAGGTTTGCCTTAGAGAGTATCCCCCCACCCCAGGCCAGTCCTCAGGGCCTCGTGGACTTCCCAGAGAAGGTGGTGGTCAAAGTGGTTTCCAAGGCCACGGGGGCCAAAAGAAGCCTGGTTTGTTTTATTCTGTTAGGAGAGCACGTTAGCAGAGTCATATTTTATAGCCAAAGGACATGAAGCCCAGAGGTCCTCGGTGACTCTGTAAGGGCCACTCGGAAGGAAGCCTGGCTTGGGCCCCAGGCTCCGGGCTGCCAGGCAGGCCAGCCTCTGCTGCTCCATAGCGGTGTGGGGCCCGGATCAGCTCTCCCCAGGTGGGGCCTGTCCCTGTTTGAGAGGGGCCTGCATTTCTCCAAGCTCCTTTCACAGCTGCCTTGTGGCAGACTGTCCTCTCTCACTTCCTTGTCCTCCGCCCTCTCTACGGGCACGAGGGGATGTGCGGTGGCTCCCAGGGCACAGCTGTGTCCCTTTCCTGTCTGGGGAGCTGCCTAAGGAATGCATCCTGTCGTGTCTAATCTAATCTAATCTAATCTAATCTAATCTAATCTAATCTAATCTAATCACCTAGATCAGATACGTGTGCACAACATGGCTTCTCTCTGTGATATTGTCTGTCATCTGGGGTGTGGCTTAAACATCAAGACTGCCTTGGGAGCATGATCGAGCTTCTTCCTTTCCCTCGCGAATTACCATCATCTTACAACAGAGTTTCTTATGTAAGGGCTGGTTATAGCCAGTAAAATGAAGAAAAAAGAAAAAAAGAAAAACCACAAATATGGAGCCTTGACTAGATTTCCAAACATGCAGGATGCATGTTTCCCAACTTGGCCGAAGAGGCTGTGCTTTGAGCTTGCACTGTTACCGCAACAAGTGACACGGAGATCCCGACACGGGCAGAGCATGACAGTTGTGTCATGTGGGGAGCTGAAGGAGCCGCTGGCTTGCTGAGAAGCTCTTGTACTCAGGTGGTGCAGACGGGCCCAAGAGTCACTTCCTGCTGGTACACACGTATCCGAATTAGTGAGGAGAGAGCTCCCTTCCAAAGCTCCGTGCAGGGTGTTGCACTGGGTCCTTGACCCCCTTCGCCTGCAGCGTCACCCCCCATCTCCGTATGGCCCTGCAGGCCTCCTTCTCCACGCCTGACCTGCCTGCCCTGTGCCTCCTCGTGCTTTCAGGGTGCCAAGCGCGCGGGGCCACCGTGTGTTCCCCAGCACTAAGCCCTGCCTAGAAGCACCCGGGGCCCTCCTCCCACTCCCCTTGGAAGCCCCACCCATCAGTTTGGTGGCTTCTTCGGCTCTCCCAGTCGGAATGACTGGCTCCCGGGTGCTCCTCCAGGGTTGCCACCAGCTTCCTGAAAGCTGACCCCATTTCTTTTTTTTTTTTTTTTTTAATTTTTTTTTTTTTTCAACGTTTATTTATTTTTGGGACAGAGAGAGACAGAGCATGAACGGGGGAGGGGCAGAGAGAGAGGGAGACACAGAATCAGAAACAGGCTCCAGGCTCCGAGCCATCAGCCCAGAGCCTGACGCGGGGCCTGAACTCACGGACCGCGAGATCGTGACCTGGCTGAAGTCGGACGCCCAACCGACTGCGCCACCCAGGCGCCCCGACATTTCTGATTCACCTCTGGTTTTGCTAAAGCCTATTAAGGAATTTTGCACTTATTAAAACACTCAGAAAAACTTCTTTTGATAAATTGGATGAAACCTAGTGCTTTCCACGCCAAGGCAGTTGTGGAAGTGCTGAGCATTTCGGAACATTGGGATAAAGCGGGATGGGAAACGGAGGAGGTTTTTCCAGCGGGAGGACCTGTGTGAGGCTGGGGGTGGGGAGGAAGGTTCCACTGTGACAGGGAGGGGCGCTGGCTTTCCGCGCCAGGCAGCTGAGGTAGCAGTTTTGACGGCTTTGTCCACATGCCAACTCCTGGGGGATGAACAGGGAGGGAGGGAGAAGGAAATGCGAGTCACAGACTCGGCCAAACTCCCACTAGGCCGAACGGCCTCGGTGGTAAAATTCCCCTCCTTTGTAGATTCTGTGGGTGCAAGAATCTACAATCTAGCCCACTTGAGTGAGACGGGGCAAGTTTTCGTGAGGCCGTACTGGGGCGGCTCGGGGCCCACTGCAGGGAGGAAATGGAGCCTGGCTGGGCCTCGCCGAGGTGGGAATGAGAAAACTAGGAGCCAAGGCTGGTAGTCAGGTGACTTCTCTCAGGGTTGTGAGTTGTTCCCCTGGGGGGCGCTTTCAGGCTGGGTCCCACCTTGTCTCCTGTCTCTGCATCTCCCCGCGCTTCTGCT